TTATTAATATGTATGTGTCGTACTATAGGATATAAAGCTTGAAACATTGTCTTTTATGTAGTCTTTACATAAGTCTACTAATAAAGTATGATTTCACAACCACTGCAGCACTACCGCGGTCATGGGTGGGGTGGGGAAATAGTACCTCTAGATGGCTGGAAATGACACTTTATATAGTAATATTTATAATCATCACATAATCATTATATTATATCGTCAAAGTGATGCGCCAACAATTTTGTCATGATATTTTATCAGTGAATTTCAGCAACCATAGAGATTAATAATTGTAATCCAGGACAGCTTAGCTTTAACTATTATAGGCCATCATTATGATCAACCAATACAATTTTAAGCACAAAATTTGCATAAATAAAGCCACACGTATATAAATTTTTAAATGGATTCTATCATTAATGTGGTAGGCAGGCTCAGTTTCTATTTACAGTACCATCCAGAAATCATTAGCCATCCACTTCAAAAACGTGATTTCACAACCACCTCAGCCCCACCATGGCTGGTGGGGCTGAGGAAATAGTACCTCTCGAGATAGCTGGAAATGACACTTTTACATCATCATCACATTACCATTATAATCAAAATGAAACGTCAACAAATTTCTCATGATCTTTTATCAGGGATCTACTTAATATCCAGGACAACTTAGGCCTAATTATAGCTTACTAAGCTTTAACTATATATACTATATTATTATAAACAAATCACAACTTTTTTCGCATTTAGCACAATTTCCTTCACTTTTTATTGTTATTAATATTAATATCAATTATTACTATCGTCATCATCATCATTGTTATTATTATTATTACTATTAGTAGTAGTATTTATATTAAACAAACATTTAAAGAAACTTGCTAAAGGATACAAACGAAATTGAACCACAGTATCGCATTTCTATCTTAAAAGACCTGGCCTGAGATTTATGGATTTAAGATTTTGTTAAATTGCTTAGGCCTATGTGTTCTATTACGCCTATGTATAACGTGTACTGATGCATATTTGCATGTTAAGAAGTATTCATTTTGAGTGATCCCAGGAAAGAATTTGTATTGGCTCAAGAATGAGCTTTAAAATTTTAACACTGTGTATAAACTACTCTATATAAATAATTTAGGATCGTATTTCGAATTGTGTTAGGCACAACCGAGTATTTGTACTAAGTACTTGTTATCCAGGTAATTCTTGTTTTAATGTAATGATTTATCAGTAATAAAAGTGAAAAACTTGGCTTAAAATATTCTGGTCATAGCCTTTATTTAAAATTTACAAAATAAATTACGTTCCACAAGTTGAGAATTGTTGCAGGAAATGTGGGATTCTGTGATGTTCCTTGTGTTTTATCATAAATACTTTCAAAACTCTTTTATTCATATGGTGGCTCTGAAAAGAGCCGTTTGTTTTGATAATGTGAAGTTGTAGTTTGATGGGTCCTCAGTATCTGGAAACTTCCATTTCTTTCTATGACGACGGGTATGACTTTATGGATGTGTCGTATGTACTTGGAGCACAAGTCGGGGAGTAAGGTTGTCTTCCACCAAGTCGGTGGAAGACAACCTTAGAATATAAAAAAAAATCCATCTGTTAACCCGACTTTTTTATATTACACTTCAATACTGTATATAGGCCTATTTGTTTTCCGATGTAAATAAAAGTAAATAAAAATAAAATTAAGACCGTATTTCGATACGATTTTTTAAGCACAAATGTACAGTACTACAGTAGGTACCCGCCATTCACGTAATCCTTGTTTAGATGTAAGATAGGCCTATGATTTATCTGAATAAAAGTGAAAACGTGGTTTTAAAATATTCTGCTCATAGCCTTTTGTTTCAAATTTACAAAATTAAATACAGTATGTTTTTACAAGTTCAGAAATTTCATTTCATTTTTCCGTTGATCTAAGCAACCTTGCTGATAGCTGATTCGATCCTACAGAGTTAATAGTTTGTTTTCAAACTTATTTTGACCACCATCCACATACTTTTTTTTCCATATGAATTTATTACAGTACTTCTAATTTATGTGTATGTGGAGAAATATTAATAAACAAACAAAATAAAGAGTAACATTGTAAATAAATTGAAACATACTGCACTTCGATATGAGCGGTTTTACGAGTCTAATTATACTTTTTTGCGATTATCAATAATATCTTTTTGAAGGAAGACGATTCCATAAATAAAGAATGTATAAAAAGCTGAATTTTAGTTTCTTTATAAGGCGAAGATTGATATACAACAAAAAACATAAAGCAATATAAAGACATAAATTAACATAAACAATATAGTGGGGGTGGATATGTGACTTGGGCGTGCACTTCTGGAAAGAAGCATGATATTTTGTCCTGGGGAGGGGGTGGTTTTGAGTATACCGATTTCAAAAATTGTGGGAACCACGATGTTACTCCACCCCTTCCCCTCCAAAAAATGGAATATTCAAGATGGAACCCCAAAAAACATTATTTTGGCAGTTTAAAAGCTCTAAAAGCCCACATTACCAAGTTCTTTAGTTCAAGGAATGCAATAAAACATTATTAAAATAAAATACCATACATTTATTACTGTCTCTTATACACATCTAGATGTGTATAAGAGACAGATACTGACGTGACAGACATCTGTTGGTGCTGTTGTCGAGGATAGGCATGCTTTGCTAATGCTCCTGCTAATTTTTAATTGTGAAAGTGATTCTAAATCACTCTTTTTTTTAAGCAGGGCTTTATTATAATTTCTATATTATTAATATCCTTGATCTGCATTAAATGTATTTATAGATACCATAAGAGTGCTACTTTAAAATCTCGAATTTAAGCCCTGAGTTTCTTTTTTTTTCTTCTTCTTTTTTTTGCAATCTTTGGATGGGCTTCTTTTTGAGGCCAACACTGCAAATTATAAAGAGGAGGCTTCTTTTTAAAATGAATGCTGTTTAGTTTGGGCATGGAGGTTTATACCTCCATAGTTTGGGAATATGTACTATAAACAATATATAAGGCCACTTTAACATCAATCTGTATCATGGAGTGTATTAACTACATTACTTTATAAACTAAGCATACGTGGCAAAGACAAGCCAAACCAGTCACTCATCGCAAATCCTGTTTTGGAGATAATGGTCAAAACATGCTGGAATTTCAAAATTTGAAAATCTATTTTATTGCACTAAACTAACCTTTATATATTTATACATCATGCTATGCTGTTATTTTCCTCATTTTCAATGTTAAAACAACAATTTTTTACGATTTGATGATGGTTTCTGCCTAAGAAATGCCTGAAATCGTAAACTTTGAAGGCTGATTTCTCAAATATTGTTCTTTAAACAGCTGTATGTTTAAAATCGTGTAACTTCATAACGAAGTGTCGGATTTAAATGATTCTTTTACCATTTTATAGCTCTCATTTTACTGTAAAACCCTGTATTAATAACTAAAAATTGAATTTTCCGACGAGTGACTGGTTTGGCTTGTCTTTGCCACATATAATTTATTTATTTTTTTAAAATTTATGTACAGTATGTATATTGTAATATCTCAGAAAGAAGCTTATGCTATCTTAAAAAGCTTCATAAGCTTCTTTAATAAGATGGGCTTCTTTTTGATTGTAATTTTGCAAACTGAAGAGGTGGGTTTGAATTCGAAATTGGATTTCTTCTTGAGATTATTAAGCAGAGTTGAATAGCTGGGTGGTTTAAGATGCTTGCCTTCCAATCCCAGGGTCCTGGGTTCAATTCAGTGTAGAGATTTAGTTTGTGTAAAGCATCGTGTGTGTATGTTTGTAAAAAAGTCCATTGGATTTCAATTCAAGGTTTTTTTTATCCTACGTCCTCGTTGATTTTTTAAAATACTTGTATTACCTCCCATGTCGTAATAAAAATGATAATTGTGAAAAGTAATTAAATGTGAAAAAAGTATTATATAGATGAACAAATAATAAAAATAATTTATTAAAAAATTTAAAAAATACAAAAAAGAGGGAGATGTGGACCCCAGACGTGCAGCTTTACTGCTCTCGGCTACATTTCATCTGATAAGTGTAACTGGCAAGAATACACGCCTATACTACAGCTAACCAGCGGATTGAGGACGTCAAATTTATACACAGATTATGATGCAATGGGGTGAGGGTTTGTAATCTCAGATTATTCATTCTTTTATTACATCCAATCTTTTCATTCTGTTTTAATATGGAGTTGAATAGCTTGGTGGTTAAGATGCTTGCCTTCCAATCCCAGGTTCCTGAGTTCAATTCCTGCCAATTTTCTCACGACATAAACAACTGCACTCCCTAATAGCTCAATAACAAATGACAGGATATAGTATTAAAATTAATTCATAATAATAAATGAAAATTATGACAAAACGTAGAAAAGAGACTTGTCGATAAATTACAGTACATCAAAATCATGAGATAAACCGACGCAAACAAGTAGAACAAAATCGTCGGAAAACGAACCCTAATTCGCGAAATGGAATCATCCAACATTTTTGAACAGTATCTTGAACCACTCGTTGGCAACGCGAAAAAATTATAATCCCCAACCACGCATTGTAGACGGGTATACGAGTTGCTTTATTTTGCGAGGCTCCCTAAGCAATGGGTTGAAACATATAATAGCGAAATCCTCTTTAAACAATAAATGTGACCAGTTACTAGAACTGTCAATAATCCTAGTGCTATGAAAAATCAACCCTAATGGTTTATAATCCTCATTGATATCATCAGGTAAATTGTGTAAGTCAATACTTACTTTAGACGGAAGTGTAATGTTACATTGTTGTTCATGGTCTATTAAATTTCATGAATTAACGTTACTCGCATTTCTACTCGACTTTCTAGATTCTGTATATTATAAAGAGACTGAAATTTATTTGTATATTGTTGCAATTGGTCTTTGGATACCAGATACCATAAGAGTGATATGTGATTACAAAGTAAAAGTGTTCAGAAACGTTTTTTTATCAATATTTTTATAACATGTAGGATGGGGCAACGGCATTGTACGTAAGTGCTCAAAATGGTCATACAGATGCTTGTGGACTCCTTATTCAATCAGGAGCCAACAAGGATATTCAAAGGAAGGTAAGTACAATACTATTACATTTTTTTTTTCCCCTGGTCTATTAAATTTGATGAAGTAAATGTGATATATCTTTGTGCTATTTGATGAAGTCATATCTTTTTGGAAATTTCTCCATTCTAATAAACATTACATGTTGACATACTGTACTTTTTATTATTATGTACTGTGTATCTACCCCACTTGTACCAGTTACCATAAAATTTGTATAATGGGTCAACGACATGTTTTATATAGAATAGGATGAAGAGAGGATAGAAGATCATCTCTCTTAGTTTATGTCATTTATACACAGTTCTAAGGATGCTTCCCTATGATGAAAAATTGGTATTTGGAATGCATGATAATTAGAGATTAAATGATGTACCCAATCTGTACCAGATACCATAAGAGTAGTATGTTACTACAAATGAAAAGTGCTCACTTATTAAACATTTTAATCCATTTTTCTATAATATGTAGGATGGGTATACGGCTTTGCATGTAGGTGCTTCCAATGGTCATACTGATATTTGTAGGCTTCTCATTCAATCAGGAGCAAACAAAAATATTCAAACAGTAGTAAGTATGATAATACATTTTTGTTCCTGGTCTTTTAAATTTTCTGTATACATACACAGGTTTCCATCGCAACCAGCATACCGTACAACTTTAAAATATAACAGACATGGAATTAACAGTAAACTTTTGATGCAGCATATATTTTATGTATTATCCCACATGTGTCTCTTAAGTTACTTTTTGAATAAATAGAAAGAGTTAACATTATATTACTAGACCAATGGACATGTCAGAGCCACCATGAAACTTTGCCCAGTCAGCGGAAGTGCTTACTAAGCTGCTTTCCATACCAAACAGCACTTTGGTCTCATTGGTGAATTTTAGCTGTTTAATAGTGGGTGCTGAAGTTTCGTTTGTTGTGTTTTGAACGTGTCATTTTGCAGTATTTAAGGGAGCCTCGCAAAATAAAGCAACGCATATACGAGTGGACCACGCGATGCGATTAAAGGCAGTTTAATCCCATAGTTGGCCACGCGTTTATTTTCTTGGGCTACTCCACTTCGTAGTGGGGAATTGATAACAGGCTTAGTGTAAAAACCCAACACACAAACATAAACGTCTCGTTTAAAAATAAACTCTATTGGAAGTAACGCAAGTTCATGTTATATTTCTGAGAATTACATTAATAATTTATCGAGATTATCGTCACC